ATCATGCTCACCAAGTTCTATGTCGTACTCGACGACGAGGAGAAGCGGATCGGCTTTGCGCTGACGGCTCATTCTCCGGCTCAATCCGCCTAGCTGTTACGCCATGCGATGACATGCATATTGGGCGATCTTTGCCAGACCGTTGCCTGCTTTGCATGCATCAGAAGCATGACCGCGGCAATCTATAAGTCCGCTCGACGCGTATGACCCCCTGTTAAGCCAAATCACATTTATCTGGAGCTGTTGTGAGGCTGATTCGATCAGCCCCGGATCGCCTTGCACGGCGCTATCTCAGCGATGACATATCTCTCGAGCCGTGAATCTACAAGCCATGTCGGCCTATTGCCCGGCGCATTCGGCTTTCCTGCAAGACTTCGATGCGAAAGACGACACATGGCGCCACATAGCCACTATCAGTCTGTCCCTTTCGTGATTGCACCAGAGGACTGCTATACTGCATCTCATCCGACAGAAGCCTACAAGTGACTATTTCTCCCGCCCATCAGGTAAGGCTATACGCAGCACAGTTCAACAATGCGACAGAGCAACGGCTATCTGTTACCTCCAAGCAAGGTCTCGGCCTATCTCTATCACCCGTATCCCGGGCGCTAAGTGTACAACGGCACGTATGCGATGCGTTCCATGTCGGATCGTCGGTGACCGGTGTTGAGCAATGCAACAATCCGCTTATCGATGCATGGTTAGCAACAAGACCTGTTCCATTGCGTTGCTACGATCACCACCCCGATTACTATATATCATCCATCGCACTTGCATCGACAGCCAGCAGGCAAAGATGCAGATCACCTTGCAGCTTCTCGTTGCTGCTGCTTACGTCGCCGATGCTTCTGTTATCAAGCTCCGCGCTCATCATCGCCACCATCCTCGCCACTTGGCAACGGAAACCTATCTTCCGACTCGCAGCTTTCAGGACAACAGCTTTTACGTCAACTTGACAGTCGGTACGACCCATCCGGTCACGTACGAGAATGTCATGCTCGACTCGGGCAGCGGTCCGACATGGGTCCAACGTGAGTT